ACACCTCCAGGCAGAGGGAACAAGCAGCATGTGCAAAGCCCTGGGAGAGAAGAAAAGAATCTGAACGTGTTGATAAGTGGCCTCTTGAGTATCAACTCTGCCCATTCATTTGAGGGCTGTTCTGAAATCCTGAGGTGTTGATATGAGCTTTATGTTGTTTGATTATTTTGTTTTGTTGTAGTCTACTTTGCTTCCACAGATCACAAACTTATCCTCAGGTCTTCTCAAAGGCTACCTAATAAGATCTTAGATCTGAAGTACAATCATCTCATTATCCATGAAGGATTGGTTCCAGGACCTCTCTTGGATATCAAAATCTGCAGATGCTCAAGTATCTGATACAAAATGGTATAATATTTGCATATAACCTATGCACATCCTCCTGTATAATTTAAGTCATGTCTAGATTGCTTATAATACCTAATACAATGTAAATGCTATGTAAATAATTGTTACACTATATTGTTTAGGGAATCATGACCAAAAAAAAAAAATACGTGTTCATTTTTCCCAAGTATTTTCTATCTGTGTTTGATTGAACCCATAGATGCAGAACCTACAGGTAAGAAGCCAAGAAGAGGGGGGCCAGGCGCGGTGGCTCACGCCTGTAATCCTAGCTCTCTGGGAGGCCGAGGCGGGCGGATTGCTCGAGGTCAGGAGTTAGCCTGAGCAAGAGCGAGACCCCGTCTCTACTATAAATACAAAGAAATTAATTGGCCAACTGATATATATATAAAAAATTAGCCGGGCATCGTGGCACATGCCTGTAGTCCCAGCTACTCGGGAGGCTGAGGCAGTAGGATCGCTTGAGCCCAGGAGTTTGAAGTTGCTGTGAGCTAGGCTGACCCCACGGCACTCACTCTAGCCTGGACAACAAAGCGAGACTCTGTCTCAAAAAAAAAAAAAAGAAGCCAAGAAGGGCCACCTTATATAGACAATTTTTCCATGAATTGGGGGGTGGGGGAGTGAGAAGCTCTGCTGCCCAGTCCCTAAAGGTCACGGGCTGGTATCACTCTGTGGCCCAGGGCTTGGGGACTGCAGGTATATGGAACTTAAACTTTGCTCTAGAGCAAGAGCTACTTGTAAAACAATCTCAGAAGTAGCATTTAAAAATAAGATTAAATACAAGTAAGTATATATATTAATAAAAGCCACAGGTGCAATGGTTTAGCCTTGTTTTAAGGAGAATGAGAAAGGAAATCTTGTGTCCTACAAGACATAAACACAATTGAGTGGAACTAAATGGTGCAATAGAATGATAGGAATTGATTTTATTTTTCTATTTAATGGTTTAGGAATCTTTTGGCTACTCTGTCCACATCAGGTTTTGTTACAGTAGCAAAGGTTTAAAGTTGCAACCTTATCTAGAAAAGCTGCCCCCCCAAAGATAAAATACCATGATAATAGGGTGCCTAATTCATCAGTCCATTTGAGAAATATATTATTTCATTGAAAATGTGTACTTTTGAGTTGGAGGCAACATTTATTTAGCTCTGCCTATCTTAAGGGGTTATATGAGAGTAACAAAAGCAAAACATTCATTGAGTTTAATAATTTGAGAAGTATAAATAAAAGTCTAATCCACCACCTGAACTGGTGATACTTTGTCTAGTTCCTTATCTATACACTCACCTCTGTACTAGTTACCATTTCAACATCGAAGTTGGAAATTGTATTTGTTCCAAGAGTTGGCTTTGCTCTAGCTTTATGGTACACATTGGGCAGCGTCTTGCTGGCTGCCAAACTGGGAGCTGGATTAAAATTGTTCCTATTAAGTGTGGAACTCAAAGAGTTTGGGTCCTCCCCACAACTTCATCTTTGCCACCCTTGAGCTGATCTCATTTCATTAGTACCTGCTGGTGTGGACTGGATACTGAGCCAGCAAGCCTCTACTGGAGTGACATAATTTTTTGTTTCTGATGGATTGCAGAAGAAGCCTTTAGTAACGGCCTGAATATTTACCCCCTTTAATTGTTTCTTATAGCAGAGCATCAACTGAAATCTTGGAAAAGTGCATTTTTGTCCTTGTTAAGGAGCTTAAGGACATTTTTCTTCTGCAAATCATTGTATCTATGGGACAATGTTTTAGAAATTAGAGAAGATTGACCTCATGTGCTTACTTATAGAATAGCATATCGCCCCCTCCCCTTTTTTAACAGACTCATCATTCTCACCTATCACATAACTGCTTTTTAAATAGTTCCGTGATCTAAATTAGTAAATCCCAGTACTTAAGTTTCATTATAACCTAGTAAATTTACAAAGTCTTCTGGTTTAAGCTTAAGAGTAGACTATTCAAGACTTATTCAGACCTGGCAAAGGATAGGTCGCGGTTGCACTGGATTTGAAGCTGGTGCTGTTTTCCTTAAGTTTTAAGAGGAAGCAGTAGGACTATGAGTAACCAAGGGAGAAGAGCCAAATTCTTGCAATTCATGTTTATTTCTTCTATTTTAGTCTTTGTGGGTCATAGGTCTGTTTCAACTACTCACTTCTGCCAGTGTAGTGAGAAAGCATCCATAGACAATTTAAACAAATGGGCATACTGTGTTCTGTTACTTTTCACCATCAGAAATATTTTCAACCACCGAAAATGTAAAAAGCATTCTGAATTTGTGAGCTGGATTGGGCCTGTAGGCTATAGTCCCCCAACCCCTCCTTTGGCAGTAATTTCTGCTCTTGTTAGGACCAAATGAGCGTCCCCTCCCCACCCTCTCAAAAGTAATACATTACTGTCACTCATAAAGATTAGAGAAAAGGTTTGTGGTAATTTTGCTTTTTCCCTTTCTTCATATATACGTATTTTGGTAAATTATGTACAAATTGAGCGTATAGCAAGTCCAGTTTTTTTCACATTGAGATTAACATTTTCACATTGATAATTTCTCAAAACATTTTTAAAATTAGTCCTTTAAAAAAAAGTCCGAGGTTTGCACAAGCTCCTTTTAAAAAGTGACCTTTGTTAAGCCTTTTCGGTGTTATGCAAATATGTGCACAAAATGCTGTATGTAGTGTTTTTTCAATCATAGTCATAATTTAGTCCCATTTGTACATAAAATTGATACCAGTTTCATAAATTCTACAACACATCTCTGACCATATTTTGGTTGTGCAATTTGTCCAAATATTTGTTGACTAGATTCCCGGAAGTGTAATTGTTAAGGAAAGGGTTATACATGCATTTTAAATGTTGGCAGGTCATAACTCAGTTGCTCTCCAAATGGTTCTATCAGTTTACACATCATTTTACCTGAATGTTTTTAATGACTGTAATATTATGTGGGTATATTACCAGTTAACCATCACCCTTTTGCTGCTGGTGGGCATTTTATTGCCATGGCTTCCATTCTGTTTATGTTGGGGCATAAACTTTTGTCCATGTTCCTGAGGAATTCCTAGTATAACTACTTGGTCAACTTGGTATACATTGATGTCCAAATAAATGTAGCTACGACAAAGTATTTCACTAACTTATTAAGGAATGAATAAGTAAAAATGAAGAAAACCAGGAAGAATTACCATACTTTTACGAATGTCCAACGCTGCTGTTTGATAAGCACCAAAAATATGATTGGAGAGAGTGGTAATTCACATATTGAGAGGTGTTTGTCAGATGTTACAAAATGCAGAAGTGTTACTTTAGGGATGGCAATTTGTTCAAATCACATTAAAGTAGAGGAATTAAAGCTAAATGCTATGTTTTGTTAACGTAGGCTTTAGGGGCCTTCTCATCTTTCAGATAGAATTTAGCTAGTGGCACCAGTCAGGAAGGTCTTAAAAAATGACGGGGAGAGGAAGTAGCACCTTTGTAGAGGGTGATATTTTTTAAAGAAATTATTGCTTTTGAAGATGGTGTAAGTCTGTACAATAAAAAAAGACCTACATGCATCACCTCTCTCTACACCACTAGAAATAGGCTCCTTGGGGTCAGAAACTTGCTGTGTAGTCAAGAGCTCTTGATCGGGCTGGGCGAGGTGGCTCACGCCTGTAATCCTAGCACTCTGGGAGGCCAAGGCGGGAGGATCGCTTGAGCTCAGGAGTTGAGACCAGCCTGAACAAGAGGGAGACACCATCTCTACTAAAAATAGAAATTGGCTGCACAACTAAAAACATAGAAAAAATTAGCCGGGCATGGTGGCACATGCCTATAGTCCCACCTACTAGGGAGGGTGAGGCAGGAGGGTCGCTTAAGCCCAGGAGTTTGGGGTAGCTGTGAGCTAGGCTGACACCATGGCACTCTAGCCTGGGTAACAGAGCGAGACTCAAAAAAGAGCTCTTGATCATTAAAATAATTTTAACACCTCAATCAGGGAGGGGAGAAGAGCAATAAATAAGACAACCACGTGCTACAGCAGCTGTCCCCAACTTTTTGGGTGCCAAAGACCAGTTTTGTGGGAGACAATTTTTTCACGTTGTGGGGGAAGGGATGCAGAATGAAGGCAGTGATGGGGAGTGGCTGTAATACCGTGCAGCTGGGTTCTTAAATTTCATGGAAAACATTTTTTCCGTGGATGGAAAAGTGGCACTGCGCTCAGGTGGTGATGTGCAGCCCAGTTCCTAACAGGCCATGGACCAGCACGGGCTGCAGTGCTATGCCATTACCCAGGCAACAAGATGGAAAATATCCATCAGGACAGAACTGACATCTTAGTGGTAGACAGTTCCTTTTAACCCAGCAATTCCACTAGTAATTATAAATTATCATAAATGAAGCATACAGTTGTACTGCTCGTAAGAGATGTGTGCGATTATCAACGGGAGTGCAGTAAAATTACTTTAGAATGCCAGACAGGTTTTCACTCAGAGGATGAATGCAGTTAGGTTGAATGTTTGAACATGGTACAAAAATAACCCATGGTTGAGGAAGTAATGCACTGAAAGGTATAGCTCTCCCCTGGATATTTACTTTAAATACACATTCCAAGTCAAAATCATGTATCTTACCCAAATTTTCAGAAAGCTGATTATTTACAAATCTGTTTAGAAAAAAAGAAACACCAAGATCATTTATTTCAATTTTTATTTGATATTTCCAAATATAAAAAAAGTCAAGATTCTTACACCAATTATCTCAAATGAGACCATGCAAAGCAATTCAGTGTGTGTACAACAATAATTTTTCCCCTTAGGTTCTGCTGCTTTATACAACGGTGTGAACGACAACATTGGATGGCATCTGCCTGGTTGGAAAATGTCATCTCTTTACAAAAAACAACATGCAAGACAGTTTCTACTTTGTCTGCTAGTCAATTCACAATAACAACTTATTTTCTTTTTTTATTTAGGAGGCACATGGAACTGAAAAATTTAGCTGCCCAATTTTATTCAACTACCCCACCAAAAAAAAAAAAATCACATATGACAGTCCCAACACTCTGCAAACTTTGGAGGGTTGAGATAGTAGACACTATTTGTTATCTTTAGTAGATTCAACTATTTAGAGCCTGGTAATATTGGCTTTTTCTCTTAACAGAAATCTCCTTAGGGTCTCTCCTCTATAATTTTGTTAGACTGGGTTCCAGAAGAATAGTGAAGAACCCCTCACATGAAAATGTGAAGTGTGGAAACTGTTCTGTTGCATTATACAAATTTTTGCTAGTTGCATAGACTAAAGACAGTTGGTTTGCTAAATGGCACTGAATTAAATCCTGACCCAAGTGGCACTATTCAGTCCAAATGTTTCTGACCAAAGAAAATTATACAATATTTATAGGCTAACTTTTACGAGATGGTTGACATTAATACTGTACATATTTTACATGTCAAATACATAGTCCAAGATTTTATAAAATAAGTTCATGCATTATTACCTCTAAGAATATCATGTACAAGATAACCCCTCCCCCCCACCAGTTCCTGTGACAGCATTTCAGGTGGAAGCAGTCTTATATACAAAAACAATCCAGTTTCTCTGCTGTGTTAAGTATATAATTTAAAGAAATTTCAGAGATTACTGACAAAAAAATCTTACTCCATTGAAGATAGAAAGTGTCAATTTGTGGGATTTAAAATGTTTCCTTTTTAAAAAACACCCAGAATACATAACTTCTGTACAAAGAAAAATACAAAAATTCTGGATGATCATGTTTGATCACACTACATAATTTAGAATGAAATGTCACTGGTTTAAAAGGTTTTCTACTTTACCCATTCCTTTGACAGCATTAATTTGTGCACTAACATTTATATTTAGCTCAGCTGCACTTATGGCACAAGATCTCATTTCCAAAATGGCACCAATTTTCCTTAAGTGTAACAGCACTCTATTTTTAGCAGCAATTATATTTTTAAAGGTTAACAATTTGTAGAACAAATGTTTTAATTATACTTATTTTCTACTTTATACTCACCAGTTACAATATTTACAAAAGGCTAAAGTCTACACAAAAAATGATCCTTCACTCTCCCTAACCCCACATCTCAGTCAAAGGTTTTTCCACCCACCTCACTGGGGAAGTAGGAGTTTCAGACAAGGTACCTATGTGTTTTAGATGGGATTCTTGATTTTAAGTGAGTATAAAGCCAAGTATAAGACAAAATAATTCTTAGATTAGGTATAATTCCAATGCCCCAAAAGTTAGTTATGTGATAAATAGTACCTATTGACAACCTAGAAGAGATGAGACATTCTAAGGTGCCCTAACAATCTTACATCTGTAACAGCTGAACAGCAAGAAGGCCATTGTACTCAACTGTGCTGCAGTCATCTTTGACTGGCATTTAAGGTTAGACTCCACTCCTGTGGTTACCGGTAAACATGGGACTTTAACTCTAGAGGTGTCGCTAAATTTAAAAACTGCAAATATGTTTTAAAAGCAATTTACATTGAGGGAAATATGGTTCTAAGGTATTCTGTGTAAAGAGATTAAAGATAACGGGGGACCTGGCAACTGAGCATGCTAATTCCGTCGATACAATGTTCATGGTAAGGTGTATTCACTACATGCATTTTGCTAACAATATTTCCCCCCAAAATTCACCAACTCTGTAGAGCTACAGGGGCAATAGCCATCATCATGTAGCTAGTGACATAATACTATTTGTGAAAATTCAGACAAATGAGTTGACAAATTCCCAAAAATAGCAAATTAAATCCTTTGTCAAAATAGTTACTGGATCATACATAAATAGCCCAAATCTGTGATTTAGGAATTAAAATTGTGATCATATAAATCATGTTTGGGGATGAATGGATTCCCTTAATATCAAGAATATTTTTCATTAATTCCCACCATAGAAGGATTTGTTGAATGTTAATACTGTGAATGAGAAAATTTGAGGGGAAAGAAAATATACCTACAAATAATTTGATCTGACAAACCAGGCTGATATCAAAAAGACAAAAAAACTGATAAAATGCTGTGAAAAAAACAACCAAAACAACATTGGGGGGGGAGGGGGGCTCAGTTAAGGCATCTAAAAAAAAATTCCACGTGGCTTTGGCTTATTAAAATATTTTACACTATTTTTTAAAAGAAGATTTGAAATCATCTGAAAAACATGCAAATTGTTTGAAAACCTTGCATGGCAAATTCAGACAGTTTGCAAGCGTCATTCAGATGTTCACAGAAGAAAACAAAGAAGCCTCTCCCCATGAGACTGCACATGGGAGACGTCTTCCCGGTTCTTTCTATCTTATGCTGGATGGCAACCCCGAGGTCTGTGCAGCAGTTACAAACAAGGCATTGCTATCTGGAAGGGAAGGGACCATGGAATTGCCATTGGTTGGGGAACAGCCCAGCTTTAGCTTTTCCAGATACTCTGCATGTACAGGTTTGTGACACTGGAGAATTTTGATTGCATCTTCTACTTTGAACCATTCTCTCTTCCTTCCTAGAGAATAGTATGACATTGGTTACTATATATAAAGTCAATTTTCAAAGTAAGCCATACCCTCAACATTCACTCCCCCCGCAAAATAACTTAGGCAACAATATGCTGGGGAAGAATTTTAAGGTAATTCAAATGTGGAGATACAAATTCATCTTCCCTTCTCTAAAAAGATTTAAGATAAAAATAATTTAAAATGAAACTGGATACAAGAATACAAGTAACTTGAATTAAGAAAATTCAGATAGCAAAAAGAACAGGAGCTTACCGATATTAACAGAATCTTCCCAATCTTCTAATATTTCAGTGACTGTAAGAACATACACGTATGTTCTGTGCTTTCGGTCTTGGTTCTGCTTGAATATAAAAAGAAATGCATTTTAATCTACAGGAACAAGCCTTGGGCCCATTTGAGGGAAAAATAAGCAGTTCTGGCATACTGTTGATTAGTATAGTATACTTCCCAGTACAGGCAAGTATACTCTAGCGTAGTACAGCACATAAGGAAGATTATGCAGGACAAAACATTTACAAGATAAAAGACTGGAATTGCACCTTCATCACCACCAATGGTGAAATTAGCTCCTGATGCTAAGCTTTAAAAACAGTTTTGACTTCCATATACTTGACATTATTTTCACAATGACAATCTAAAGATTTGGATGTAATCTATATTAAAAGAACTGTATTCCTGTAGTTTTTATTCTAAATCCTACTTCCCGGGGCTAATCCTAACCACCTCTCAATGCTATGGAAAAACTGTTTCCTTCAGGACCCAGTTCCTTTAGAGCCTTGGTCTCCAGCCCCCAGGCCGCGGACTGGTGGTACTGGTCCACAGCTTGCTAGAAACTGGGCCGCACAGGAGGAGGTGAATGGAGGACCAGCTAGCTGAAGCTTCATCTGTGTTTACAGCTGCTCCCCATGGCTAAGCTCCTCCCCCAAATCCCCCATCCATGGAACCTGGTCTCTGGTGCCAAAAAAGTTGGGGTCCACTGCTTTAGAACACTCCTCTTATAGGTGTATCAAGATTTGCATAAAGCACAGCCCTGCTAATCTAGACTAGGTCTGTTCAATTTTGGCCATAATTGGACTACTCAGGATAAAAGATTTTTTAAAGAGACATAGCTTCAATTACTCTGGGGTGAGGCCCACCAAAAAAAGTATTGCTATTTTAAAAGCTCCTAGATGAAAACTAGGCACATCTAGGGTTGAAGAGAATACCTGGGTAGGTGCATTTTGGAATAGTATTTTAGTACTATATGCTCAAACCCAATTTTCCCCATGTTAAAATTGGCACCTGTCTTGTCCCTAGATTAAAATTACATCCAGATTGGCCTGAAGATAAAGGGGCCACCTTCGTCCTGCTTTAACTTAGCCCTGTTTGCTGTGGTCAGACTTTAGAAGATTAATATGATTTTTTTTTATCACAAATAACCACTCACACAGTATATTATGCCTGGGAAGAAATAAAAACAGCAAGAGAGGCATCCATCTGTCATTATTTTAAAGAATAAGCTGTCTTATTTCTATGTCTGGTGAATTAATATTTATTATGCTATGTTCAAATTCACTGGGGTGAATGGGTGGGGCACTCTAATTTTCTTTTATATTTCCTAAAGGGAAAGGTACATCAATAATTTCTGTGAAGTAGCATTTGTAAAAGCACTTAATGCTGTTAACGTCCCATATTACATAAGCTTTCTTTACAATATGAGAAGTTTTCTTCAAAAACCTTCTGCATATTGACAAATGTGTTATCTGCACCACAATATCTGAATCACAGAAAACCTCAATGTTTTTTCCAGTTTAACCAGGAGATGGTGCTATTTAACCGGGAAACCAAGTGCTGAATTGTGGAAAACTTAAAACGTAAATAAAGGGCTTTTATTCTGAACAATTGTACTCTGATGAGAGTTATCAATTTTTCCACGTGTTGTAGCATTGGGATTTTTTTTTCTGAATTCCTAAAGACTTAAAAATAAAATGTATATGGTTCTACAGAAAGACTGAGCTAACCCTTAAATAGTATCTTGAAAAAAGGAAAGTCACCATGTTTCTGGTATATATCTAGGTCTGACTCTCAGATGAAAATGTTTTTAAGTAGCGTGGGTCTCAGAAACCTACCTCCTTTCTCCTTACTTTCCATGGAATGCCCATCACTTGCAAATTCCCTCCTTGCAAATTCCACTCTGGCTTTAGTAGTAAGAGATTGTATGAAAGAATTTTATTCTTTTGGCATCTATGCCATGTATCTGAGTTTTGTACCTTCATACGGTCCTTTAAGGATAAAGAGATTATGTATATCATCTGATGTTATGCACTTAGGCAATGGGTACATTTCCAGACAGAATCCAAGAGCCCACATGGAGTATTCAAAGTATACTCCATAAGGTATACTTTCAAGACACTACCTCCTAAAAGTCTACACTACACCTAAACCATATAAATGAACTAAGAGATAAATCTTTTACTGCCAAACAGAATTACTACCATAATAACGCTGTATAAAATTAAGGCTATATGAATAAGTTAAGTGGCTTTTAACTTACCTCTTTTCCTAATCTTTTTACTGACTTGCCTACTTCTAGTTTTAGAGATATGTCTATGGTTTAGGCTACTGCCAGATTATTTGGCTGGTTAGCAAGAAATCATTAATTCTATTGTTAGCAAAATGTGGATTACTTTTGTAACTCACCTCAAATATGCCCAGGAGTCTTCCTAATTTTCCTTTAACTCCAGCCTATTAAAAAGATTTAAAGATGAAATGTAAAATGTTCCCCCTTTTATAACAATTTATAGAAAGTTATATTCTGGCTATTTCAAGTTTTAAATCTAAACACAATACAAATCACTACCCTCCTGCTTCTGTGAGGTTTGACTGCCAACATTCATAACCTGTGTTTTGCTATAAAACATGGCTTCAGTTGTCCCACATGCAACTTCCTGTTGGATCAGACTGTCATTTATTTTATAAGAAGTGGCAAAGACTGATCAAAAATTAGACTTCCTACCAATTTGGGACAAACTTCCTGAATGAAAACAGACTTTTCTGTGGAAACAAATAGCCTGTCCCCCTTTCTTATAGACTTGCCTTCCCCCTTCCTTGTCACATGGCTCTGGGGGGACAGTTCTTTCTCTGTGCTCCCCCTCTGCAGAGTCCTCACACTCACACCCAGCCCTGTGACAGACTGACTGCAGCGTCACATCTCCAGGGAACCTTTCCTACTACGCACCAAAGCCCAGTGAGAGAGCTTTAGTCTTCACTTCCCGTTTAACTCAGAACTGCTGGTTCAATGACTTTTTGTGGCACTTATGTTCTGTTTTGCCTGTGAGTAAAAGCAACTTGTATCTATTAGTGACTGTAAAAAGACACCCAGGCCATGTGTGCTTTTGTGCCTGAGTATATGGCACATTTTACTGAACTTTAAGACAAAACAGGGAAGATAAAAGCAATTTTCTTCGTGTTCATTTGAAAAAGAATTATGGCACAAGATTAATGTTTCTGTGCACCCTTGTTGAATGTTAATGCAAACCCTGCTCTGAGGCAAGACCATCATGTTATACATCGATCATTGATCAAATAATAAATCTGATCGACAGAAGTTGGATGCTATACAATTCTGTGGAGACTTCCACATTGATTTTATCTTTGTTATTTTTTCATTTTAGTTCACCTATAGCTGCAATACATTTATTTATTTTTTTTTTAAGACAGAGTCTCCCTTTGTTGCCCAGGCTACAGTGAGTGCCATGACATCAGCCTGGCTCACAGCAACCTCAAACTCCCGGGCTCAAGCAATCCTGCTGCCTCAGCCTCCTGAGTAGCTGGGACTACAGGCATGCACCACCGTGCCTGGCTAATTTTTTGTATATATATTAGTTGGCCAATTAATTTCTTTCTATTTATAGTAGAGACAGGGTCTTGCTCTTTTGCTCAGGCTGGTTTCGAACTCCTGACCTCGAGCAATCTGCCCGCCTAGGCCTCCCAGAGTGCTAGGATTACAGGCCATGAGCCACCTCGCCCGGCCAATACATTGATTTTAAATATTTTTCTAGCAGGTAAAATAAACCTTATCTGCTTGACAAAATGCTAGCTACAGTCACATGCTTAAAAATGTTGCATGAGGCAATAAAAAAGCACTTTTGTTCACCTGCCTTTTGTTCTTCTTGCCTTTCCTCAGCGTTATGTAGCAAATGCCTTGTTCATAAACCTTACACAGATGCTTCTCCTGTGTAACTCTAAAATACAGTTTGTATTAAAGGAAAAAACTACTATTCATCTTACCTCCTCATAAACTTCCCTCACGGCAGCCCCGCCAGGTTCCTCCTCGGGCTCCATTCCTCCTCCTGGGACAATCCACTGGTCTGGGTACCGACTGCTACTCACTAACAGCACCTGGAAGACCAAGCATACAAGTATAAACATAGACTTCCAGCCTGAGAGGCACTAGGAATATAAACAACACTCTCAAACCTTTGCAAGTTTGTGCCTCTATTCTAGATTAATCCATTTTTAAATGTCATTAAAATTGTTAGGGGTACGTGTTATACCACAAAAAAAACCCAACTGACATCCTTTGTAAACATCTTTCTGAAACCAGAACTCAACATTAACATGGTCACATTATTAAATCATTCTGTATCTAATAAAATAATTTGAACTACCAGATTCAATTAGTAAAACTGCAATTCTCAGATACTAATAAAAGATAAAAAAGCAAAGACTTGGGTTTATTAGCCCTAGAGCTAGCTATACACAGAGGTTTGTGATCACACCAGTTTCTTTAGGTATAGAATCCTCCAAATTTAAGGATGTAAAACCATAGGCAGTTCACCCTGTTTCCTCACCTATGAACTGTAGGAATACTTTACAAGATAATAGATGCTGCTGAGAAGGAAACAGGAAAATGCAGGTAGGTAAAGCCAATATGAGGTACAAAGAGTGCTTGTTATTTTTATGCTTATGATTAGGTGTAAAGAGGCACCCTTCATATTTTCAACCTATATAAACGAGCAGAAGTCACCCCACTTTTGTAACAGGCATCTATAATTTATGATCTAGAACAGGGTTGGCAAGCTACAGCTCACCGCCTGTTTCTGTGCAGACTGTGAGCCAAAAATGGTTTTTCTATTTTTACAATATGTGAAATCCAAATTTCAGTGTTCATAGATAAAATTTTATTTAGAATCTAGACACACTCATTCATTTTTACATAATGAATATGGTTGCTTTAGTGGTACAGCAGCAGATTGAGCACCTGTGACAGAGACTGTGTGGCCCTCAATGCTTAAAATATTTGGCCCTTTCATTTGGAAAAGTCTTTGGACCCCTGATCAAGAACAGCATTAAGCTTCAGGTGTGCAAACCATTTTAAAAAGCCATTATATTATCATAGACAAGTATCCTAGAGATTAACGATTTAACAGTACCTAAAACAGGTAGTATATATACCCATCTCATAAATGAAATTGTAGGTTGTTAGGTTGAAATTTACTCAATTAAAAAAATAAAGCTATGATAGACAACCAAATGATATTTATGAAGGTAGCAGGTATATTAACCAACAAAAATATTTCCAAAATTATCTTAGTATATTGCCTTTAAGTAAATTTAAATAGTTCTCCCTAGAAAAACACATCAAGTTTAGAATGAAGTTTTAATCCCCAGTGTGGGTACTGATTTTTTTTTTTTACATGCATGTCAGCATTCCTGCCCAGCTCCCTCCCCACTGCCAGAGGAACCGAGGGCCCTTAACAGTCTATGGCCAGCACAGGTGTCCTCTCTTACCTCTTGAGGTAAGCTGCCAGGAACTCAACCTTTCCCAAGTGGCAAGTTTTAGACGACAGCAGTTCAGCAACTCCCAACTTTCTCCCAAAGCCCCAACATGCTGAGGTGGAAGAGAATTCCTATTTAGGCATATAACTCCCCCATTAGAAAAGCAGCACATCTTTGCTTATGGACACACCATCACCTAATAGCAGCGATCGATTAATGCTAAAGAGGTCACCATTGTTCCTCATTCTTGATCTGGACAGGACTCTACTGCTTCCATCAGCATGCTTCCTTCCAGCCAATAACTGGCAGAACTGTGGCAAATCTAGCTAAGCACCAAAATTAACCTACCAATTGACAAAGCCTCATGCTAAATACTAACCGCTGTCTTTGAAGGTCAAGTCCAAATATAGCAATTTTGGCAAAATAAAATGAAATATAGGACAACCTTAAATTGAAGCTTTCTTAAGTATTAGCAAAACTAGCTAATGCTTAAGTTGGGACTAAAAAGTGAAAAAAAAAAAAAAGTATTACCAAATAGGGCTTAAGCATAAAAATCAGAAACTAAAGAGCCAGAGTAAGCAAATCTACCAAGTATCAGAAAATTCAGCTTTGAACTTGAAGGTGTAACTTTACAGAAGATCATGATCAAGATGTGTTTCATTCCTTATTAACAAGCATGGGTTAATAAGCTACCTTTCAGTGCATCATTTCCTTGCTTGTTCAGAAAAGTATTAATAACTACCCTTGTCTCATTGTTGTGTGTTAATGAGTATAAAACACCTCAGGCCCTGGCTAGCACTAACTGTTGGCTCTTAACAGTCCTTCCACTCTCCCCCCAATGGTGTTGAATCAGCTTACCAATAATTAGGCTCATTCCTAAATTATGCCAGTTGTACTTGTTTTATAATTACTGAGAATGATGAAATGAGGACAGAAAGAAATGTATCAAAAAATTCTGCAAAGATTCACTGAAAGTGGACTATTAAAAACTGCTGTCAAATTAAACACAGATGAAACTACTATAAAAGATTAGAAAGGGGGCTGGATGAGTCCTAGCACTCTGGGAGGCCGAGGTGAGAGGAAAATTGCTTGAGGTCTGGTAGTTCGAGACCAGCCCAAGCAAGAGCAAGACCCTCTCTGTACCCAAAATAGAAGACTTAGTTGGGTTATGGCGTGTGCCAGTAGTCCTGGGACCTCAAACTCCTGGGAGCTGCCTGGGAGGCTGAGGTAGGAAGATCACTTGAGCCTAGGAGTTTGAGGTTGCTGTGAGATAAGATGACACCGCTGCACTCTAGCCAGGGTGACAGAGCAAGACGATGTCTCAAAAAAAAAAAAAGGAGAAAGAAGATTGGAAAAGGGCAGTAAATAGCAAGTGCTGGACCTGATTGCAGTTGGAAACCTCTGTCTGGTCACTAGGTATGGGTTAACCTGGGTTAACCTAGGGATAACATGGTTTCTATTGCCTAGATGAAATTCTTATTATACAAATCTATGGTCTCTAAGCAACTTCCTTGATTTCCTTCATAATGGGACAGGATAGCATTACACAATTCTATGGTCTCTAAGCAACTTCCTTGACTTCCTTTATAATGGGACAGGATAGTGCAGGTGGCTAGCCACCTGAAAAGGACATCCTCACATAGTTAAATAGGGATTTTCAAAATCATCCATATTCAAAATGTTTTAATTCTGAAAAATGAATTCAAGCTGTCACATATCAGTGACTATTATGTTCCCAATTCTCCAAGACAGTCTGTAAGACCTGAATTACATAAGATTAATAATGTTGAAAAATCTGTTGGTATAATCTATGTCTGCTTTTCTGAACTAATATTTAAGCTTCAGATTTAAAATTTAAAACCAAACCTTTCTCTATAGGATATCAACACATAACTAAACCTTTCTTCCAAGTCATGGAACCCATCCATGGTTCAACATTTCCCCTTCATAAATTACTTTAGGCAGCCTTATGAAAACAGATTTACACAAATTTTGGACAGCTGATTTAGGCTAATCCAAGAATTTCATGCAAGAATCCCTTGACATTCCAAAAAGATTAAATGTGATTGAACCATTAACTTCCAATGGTTAAAAAAAAAAAGATCACTTTATATAAGTAATTATTGTCTATGGTATAAAACTGCTATCTAAACTACCAGCTTAAGAAGCGAGATTTGTTAATGTCCATCATTTGGTGATGGGAGTTTTAAAAACCAGCGGTGTTTCATTAAGCACTTGCCTACTCATCTCAATTGGCAATCCTGCAGTCTGTCCTAAACTCTGCTATTTTTGGACTTTTCATGCTTTTGAGGCTCTAGAGCTGTATTGTCTAACCTAACAGCCACTAGCATCATATGGCTATTTATTGAACAACACTTATCTAACAACATCTTAAAGATATATCCTTTTCAGACCATGTAAAACATGTAAGTTATTTATCCACTTTTAATTCCCATGCAAAAGATTACCACTTTAAAGCTCTTCCAAAAGAAAACCAGAATCATGACAACAGGCTAGCAGGAAAGAAGTGTACACGGCATCCAAACTAAACCCACTCACTTTTGTCTTTACAGTCTTCGCAGGGGTCCTCAAACTTTTTAAACAGGGGGCCAGTTCACTGTCCCTCAGACAGTTGGAGAGTGCGCACTGTGGGCCTGGGACAAGTTGGCTGCTAAGCAGGACATGCAGTAGTTGCACAAACACCACCCGGTGGGCCGGATAAATGTGCTAGGCAGCCCGCATGTGGCCCGCTGGCCGTAGTTTTGAGGACGCCTGCTCTAGAGGGACAGAGGATAGACTAACTCCTGCCAAACAAATAACTCAGCATAAACTCTCCAGCTCAAGGAGAAAAGCTGCTGATTATGCTCCATATTTACTAACTTTGTGATACTGAACAAGGTAAAAAGATATTGAATATAGGTCTTTCCCTCAATGAGTTCACATTCTTAGAGGTGGGATAGAAGACTAAAGTCACACAGTAGGCTCAATATTTTGTGGCTGAAGAAAGAGCAAGAAAATATAGATCTAAATATTAATAAATCCATACTGGCAACAGATCAATATAAACTTTGGACAAGTGATTTAGCCTAATCCAATAATTTATCATCCAAGAGTCCTTTGACATCCCAAAAAGATTAAATTTGACCAAACCATTAACTTCAAATATATTTTTCCAAAAAATGATCACTTTAAATGAGTACTTAGTACCTGTGGTATAGGAATGATTGGGCATCTAAACTACTAGTTTAAGAGCTCTGATACACAGGTCATGCTGCAGATTTGAACATCAGGTACTTGCCTATTCATCTCAAGTGCTTCACTAGGCAGTTCAAAGGAGGGCAAGGCCATTATTTAGGATAAGGAGAAAGGTGATGATTAATTAAGCAAGAACTGAGGGATGTGCACTCCACAGACCGGGGAATAGATAAGCACAGGTCTGCCCGGGTGGAAGAGATGGATCTGAACTGCATTCAGAGACAAGGATAATTAAAACCAACCTTACACTCCTTCCCTCAATAAAAATGAGTGAACCGAGTTTTTTAACTCCAGGCCAGCTAGTGGGACAGCAAGGCAATCCCACGATTATCTGGTGTGGGTCATGCACATGAGAAAAGGCTATGGGAAGCACAGAGATTGCCCCCAGCCCTGGACTGATACAAATGATGAAAAGTTGCTATCACGTTGGATACAGTGTTTATATTTTAGTTAGGCAGACAACAGAAGACAAAATGACTGTTTTGAGTAGGGGGTTGAGATTAAGATGAACACACGTGACTCAGAATTTTCTAAGCACCCCCACACTTGCTTTATTTCAGAGGGTTGCTAACACAGCAGTAAGATCACAAATATGAAAGCCAACTTTACTCTTACACAGCATTTTATAGTGCTCAGTGTTATGGCTACTATGACCATTTTTCTCTCTGGGAAAGGATTTCATCAAGCTAAACAGCCTAGGATTAGAAAAGAGCAAATGCCGAGTCAACCTGCTCAAGGCTTCTTGGGCGAGGCTCTGGGTAAAATTAAATATATAATTTAAAAAGAAGAGCAAACGGGGACAGTGGTGGTGAGCTGCACTGAAGTGTGGCACACTGTCACTCCAGACTATCAAGAATGCGAGTAAAAAAAAATAAGGCTTTTCTGTTGAAGTCACTTGGAATTTGCTGAAGATGAAAAACCACCAATCTAGACTTTTCTGGACTACATTTTTTTTAAAGAACTACTATACTAAGGTAGTTCAGCTTTAAGAATAGTTTGTTTTTGTGAAACAGAGTCTCACTCTGTTGCCCAGGCTAGAGTGCCATGGAGTCAACCTAGCTCACAGCAACCTCAAACTCCTGGGCTCAAGTGATCCTATTGCCTCAGCCTCTCGAGTAGCTGGGACTACAGGCATGTGCCACCACGCCCTGCTAATTTTTTCTATATATTTTTAGTTGGCCAATTAATTTCTTTCTATTTTTAGTAGAGTCAGGGTCTCACTCTTGCTCAGGCTGGTTTTGAACTCTTGACCTTGAGCGTTTCTCCCACCTTGGCCACCCAGAGTGCTAAGATTACAGGCATGACAAATAGTTTTGTATAAAGCAAATAAAAGATTTGATTAACTGTAGTTTTCCAATATCAACAGACACAACACACCTTTCTGTTTCTATAAATTTCAAGTGCTCCAAAAAAAAAAAAAAATTGAGACTGATGAAAATGTTTGGAATAGCCAAGAATGAAAACTTTCTTACATGAATTTTTTGGGATACTAGCACTGAGCACAGTAAGTGTTTTTACTGGGAACCTATGTTTTTGGCTTCATTATACCTCTTCTACTAAAATTCCATGGGCATCATGAACTATTACTATCTTCCATACATGTAGAAATCTAAGACGGAGCCTCAGCACAATTTATTCTAAGGGCAAATTTTTTTTGGTTTGTTTTGGTGAAGCCATTTACTGAATCACAGCAACAGCAACCTCAATGTTTGTTTTTCTTACAATAATATTGATTTCAGATAATAGGTAGCTGGTCCTGAGCCCCTCCCACACACACTGGAAGAATCTAAATCTACAGAACCATATTCCCAAGCATTATTATTCCATACCCCCTAAAAGTACACTAACAGCTTCCTTAACATTTCTAAAACATCCTCAAATCTACTAGATCTGTAATATAGTTATCATGCCAATTAATGCTCTAAAAATATTACTGCAGTAATAAAGACAGACTATAAAAGCTCATTCAGTTAAGAACATACTCCACCAGGTGACAGCCATGCATGGTCATTCACAGATTTTAAATTCCTTTACAACTACCTTTCTGAGTACATTAGATTTTCTGTACCCATCAAGATGGCACTCTGTCACTTTGGTGATAAGATGACAAAGATAAAAGTAGACATTCAACCTTCCAGACAAACCAGGGCTGAGATCCAAGGAAAGACTCATAAAAAGGAGGCTACTCATCCCACCAGGTTGCAAATTTCAAGTGCTGAATCACAAAATTCAGAATTGAATAACACTCAAATCCTAAAGCCAAAGCTGTAAGATTGGGGTGAAAAGTGAAGACACTTCTTCCTACTCTATTCAATGTGACCTTCTTTCTTCACCTAAACATTCCTTCTACTGCATTATTGAACCTTATTCCCTCTTCCCACACATCAGACAACTATCAGAATAAAACACCATTCATCTGGCATTACTGAAACAGTCATTTCTCACACTTGCCTTTTCCCAGATACCTAATGTTATTTAGAAGTATCTACCACTTTAAGTATGGATCATGTATTGACAAGCTTCAACTTGGAACCAGCCCTGAGTCTTACTGGACAAAACTTTGGGAACTGGAATGATCTACTGTATTGACTCTACACCCTGTTGGGTGCAACAGGCCCACCACACTGGGGAAGTTTAACAGTGTGCAAACTAAAAAATGTGTTCAAGGTCTATGCAATGCAATTATGCCTTCAGAGGCTGGAGGTACATGAGATCCTTAATCCTCTCTACCGAGTGACCTCAAATTGCCATTTGTGGTTTCAGCTTTTACCCTTAAAACTGCTATTGGTCATTGCCTGCCACCAGGAACAACTAACCATCATAGACACCACTTCTGTTCCAGGGTAGGGAAGTAGGGGAGCCATTCAGAGAACCTCTCACATGATCCCTAAATCTAAGAATAAAGAGTTTCATTTTGTATACTGTAGCTATTTATTACAGAAGCTGTTTTTGGGTTGCTTTTCTTCCCACATTATCATGACTCAGGACATCATGAATGGTTATAGTTAACGTACCTCTATTATAGTTAACTGTTTCATAGGAATTTAGCCAAAATTAGGCCAGTGGCATTATTAAGAACACCCACTATGCACAGACATTTTAAAAGATCACAGATTAAAAGAATGGTTATGATACATGCTAATAGCTACCTACTGCTTTCATTAAGCAAATCAGTTGGCCTGGACTACAGAGGCACCGAGAACCAGAAATAACAGTTCCTTCTGCTAAACTATGTTCAAACTAAATTAAATTATATGGGATTGGTAGCTAAAAGTACCATCAATAATGTGGAAAGTCAGGTTGATCATGTTTTCTCCAAGCACGTAGATGTTTTAAGTTTGGTATAGCTTTTTCACAATTAGAGAAAGCCTTGAGATATACCAAGATCCTAGGAAAAAAACAGATGGAAATTCTACAGAAGTGCCTTCCTTTGATGAAGCAGCTGGTTTAATGGCCTAAGAAAACCGTCTTTAGGTCTGACAGAGCTGGAGGTACAGATGAAGAGGTAAGTGACATATCCCTGTATTTTAAAAGGCTGCCTTTGGATAGTAATCAATTTTGATGAAAGTGGTCTCCATTTGAAGCAAATATGTTCAAGGATTTAAATCTCTGAAGAGCTATGAACTCCAGACTATACATCTTAAAAGGGTGGACTACTGATTCTAGGTGTAAGAATGCTAGTGGAGATTTAACTAATATTTCTTACTAGGATTGTTATTGTTTATCAGAGCTCTGGTTTTGGAGTTCTAGGTTTTGAGACTCTCCCTTTCCCATCAAGTCTTAGTCTTACTGCATGATTTTGTAGAACTCGGGATTGTTCAGGAATATATACTC